TCACTTGAGAAGACGGACACATGATGCCCGGCTGCTAAGTTATCACCCGATCACTCGTCTGCTTGCCCTCCACGTGGTCAGTGCAGCTTTGCAAACTTACCTGATAAGAGTTCACAACGTCTAGCAAAGCGTGAGGATCACTGATGTAGAAATTGACGTCAATCCGCATCAGATATCAGCAAGCTGCTACACAGACATACATGCTTGTTAGGGCGGCCCAGCACGCGAGCTATCACTCGGGCAATCCTGATGGTACGACGACAAAGGAAGTCTACATGTCAGTGGAAGCAGGCAGAACGGGACAAGAACGCGACCTTCAAAGGGTGGACACCATGCGAGGACGCAAGGATGCACGCGCACGCGATACCGCCGCAGGCCGGGTTCTGTCATCGGGAGGTCACGCTGAGGACACCACCGACGACTGCCACCATCGGCCACTCGTGGACGGCCAATCGGGAACAATGACTACTGGCCCTTAAATAGTGAGGCCGCGAGCAGAAGAGCATTCTGCTGCTAGTGACACGAAACCTACTGTTGGCTGAGACGCGCTACCGACGACAGAAGACACGCTGCTGACGAAAGAGGACACGCTGCTGACAGACACACAGAAGAGAAAACTGATGTACTAACAGGAACTGTGGCAGTAAAGTATTATCTGCTATCCTGTTCTACCTTCTCTTCCTACTATGCAACTGGAGGATTTAACCAGTTTCGACGCAGGCACACCCAAGGTTATAACAATGCTAATCAGAAACTTTATAATTCGAGTCCAGATGTTCTTCGGCAGCATCTGATAATGGGGAGTTCGATCTAATTTCTTTTGACATAATTGCAAAAATCTCGGCGCTCTTGATGGGATTTCAAGCAAAGACAGCACGGAGAAGGCTTGCATACAGCCAATGGTCTAGATGCCCGAGTTATGAGGCTCAACCTAAATCCGGTATTTTTGGTCATATCTTTTTCAATTTATGCACTCAACCTACTGTGACGTATGCAATCCATCACTTCTGATGTAGTTGACTGATTGTCTAATCAAGATTTCCTGAGCAAGCGGCCTAGAATCTATCGAATCACTACCAGACCCAAACTTCAAAATTCAAAGGTCTAATAAATATATCCTGGTTAACGCCAGTTTCTATTTGAGCAAAGGCATACTCATTCGTATACGATAAAATCCCGGCCTGTTTGGATTATGAGTGGACGCCTTCTTTTGGGAAAGAAAACCATGGAATTCATCTGGACGGAGGTATGTTTCATCGTTCACCTCATGAGCTAATGACATTCGTGAACGCTATCGCCTTATTTTGTACGTGAAATATAGAGAACCTCGTCAAGGCTGGTGATAATCAAACTGGACAGATGTCATCTAGAAGACAAAGGCGTTTCAATCCCCGGCATCGTAATTTTATTCTTCTGAGCTTTCGGGACCTTGCGGGAGTCCATCGCCAGAGATAAGCAGTCAACGAAAAACGAGCAGCAAGTGGCTGCCCACACCTATGATACGGGCCACGAATTTAACTTCGCGGCCGTGAGGATAGTTGCTCACACCGGAAACAAGACAGGCCGAGAACTAATTGAAGCCTGGGTTTCAGATGACAACTCAGTCAATCAATATATTCAGCGGGCACCCGCATACATCACCCTATAACTTTTGCTCGTTTTTGTTTGACGGTTTATCTCTGTCGATGGACTCCCGCAAGAGCCCGAAAGCTCAAAAGAATAAAATTATGATTCCGGTGACCGAAACGCCTTCGTTTTCTATACGCATACCTGAGATGCGAATACTTGCCTCAATTCGCGAGATGTCACCAATACGCCATATCAATTTGTAGCGCTTTAAAAACTGGATAGGTAAAGAAGAACAGTGTAACTAAATAATGAAAAAAGCGTTGCATCGTAATATTACTTAATCAGCACCTGGCAGTTTCCACAAATAGTACGTACCTGGAGAGCTGAGGCCTTTCGCATCAGGACATTAAGGAAGTTTAAGTAGTCCTCGGGACCAGCGGACCAGCAATCGAGCCAAGACGCTGGCGTTTCTCCACGTAGAAGAGACTGGATGATAACATCCACGCCTGGGGTCAGCGCATGTGTGCCACGAAGGAGTTTCGAGATGCTGCCCAGATGCTGGTGGATAGTTGATATGAGAGCCAGTGTGTCCGACATTTCACGGTGAAGGAAAGAAAGAACCGGAGACTCCTGGGGATCCTTTAGAGACTTTTCCTCTATCTTCGTTAAGATGGCTCTGATTTTGGTATCTTTATTCTAAAATTTCATAAAATGTCATTTAGCTGGGGACATTGCGAAATAGTAATCGACGTCGATGCGACGAACTAAATTGCGTTCCCTTGCAAAAGTCATTAACCTAACGAACCACCAAAAATGTATTCAATTGGTGGTGAAGGTGTTGGACAATGTGATTCTTACTGTTAGCCGATCGCTGAAAGTAGATACACGCTTATTCCAAGTCTAATTTTAGGTTATTTGTGTTAGATCCTGAGCTGGCAGAAGAATGCAGTAGCTTTGCAGATAACGGCAAGCAGCGGAGCAGATAACGAGATATTTATTTATTATTTTATAATATCGTTAGATTTCTATCCTACTGTCGTTACAGAGAAATCACGAATTATGTTACGTGTGGGGAATGCGCCGATTCCCACGGTTACGCCTCCGAGTGCAACTCCATGCCGCTGGCATGAGAGCGCGGGCCGTGGCTATCGATTTTTCGTCGTAGCTGATTGGTCCCCTGCCGCTGACGCCTGCTCGCGAAGCGGACTGAATGAATATCCCGCAGCCTTTTGTAAGACTTGACTTACTTGACTTGCACTTTCTTGCCTCGACGTGTTCTGTGTGAATACACTTTTCCGCCTGGCCGGTTGACTCTCTCGTGGGCGTTCGAGACAACAACTGGGCTAGCTCCGAGTTCCTGCTAGTTACAAGTACCAGGCACAGGTCGTAACATGTCTATTGCTTGCTTGCGGAAATAATGTCTAACATATGTACAAATAGGGCACTCAAGGGAATTTTTCCTACATATGCCTCAATATACTGATACTGATAGTAATTCCATAAATTTCATGTACAAATTTCGTAAACTTACGGGCAGCAGGGAGCCCTCGTGGTTTAACTTCTTCCACAAAATCAGTACAGGACTCAATTCTTTAGACCATAGCGTGCGATCGCATAAGGCCGTATGATCTATGTTCCTCTGCAACTCCCTCAGTTGTCCCAGAGCAACTGCAGCCGCCGTTTGTTGGGCCGTCTTTCCAATGTTTGCCGGTAGCCCCAAATCTAGGGGCAAGTCCACGTCTGGAAGTTGATCTATTGCTGTTACGTAATCCTGTTAAAAAGAAACAGTTTTTACAAGGTGCCAATAGGGGAATCATGGAATGCATAACTAGTTTGGGAAACGCAAACGGTAAGTATTATGTGATTTTCATGTCATCGTTCCCCTTGATAGTTGATCGATCTCAGCCAATAATAATGGTCTCATTTTGAAGTTTTGTTGCCCTTAGCTGTCAGGTCTATGGACTGTAGGTGACTCTGTACAAGTGAAGCTGTGTATCTTCTGTCTGCTAAGCAGTTCATCGTCTGCATCAGACCCCGCCTGCGGTCTTTTTGGCTCTGTTACCGGACACAGGCGAGTGAGCGAAGAGTGCGGTAGATGCAGCGCGAGTCTACTTAAAACTAACTCGCGCCCAATTCATCAGTACGAGTTAGCATAGGATCCTATGTATAGGAGGAACTGTAAGTGAGTCCTTAGTGGTCGGTAGAAGCGAATAAGCCAGTTCTAGGAAACAATTTATCAGAAGGTGCGGTCCCTGTAACAAAAACAGTCATTGGCCTGACCTTTCGGATTCTTACTCGAGCCCATCACTAGCGACTGTCGCAGCTAATGGGTTTGAGTAAGAAGCTGAAACGGCTGTCCAATACGCCTCTTGTTCCAGCCACGCCCTCTTATGCCTCTGAGTGGTTAATGCTTGAGACAGAGTTCATCTACCAATTGGCAAATTTCTAGGCCATTTGTATTTAAGTGACATTGACCGGACACTTCCTACTGGGTCTCGCGTGTCACGCACGGGTTTCCCTGGTGTTGGTCGACATTTAGTGAC